AACCGTGCGGAAAATTATAAAAAAAACGACAATTACTGAGTACCAACAAAAGAAATATTTTCTCAAAAAAACACGAATTACGGTAATTATTAAGCCTTCTGAACTTAGCTGTCAACATACTTTCTACATATGCACATACACACATACTATACATATGTACATACATATGTATGTTGTTATGTTGTCTGTTGTTAACAAACTGCATATTTTGGTTTCATGCATGTACGTACATATGTATGTACGTCTGTAAGTGTGTCGATGCGCGCATAAGCATTTAAATGTTCGAGCGCATTGCAAACATTAACGATGACTTTCAACTACAAAATTTCTTTTATTTCACGCTGTTTATTTACCTTGTGTGCCCATTTTCCAGTTAGGCTTTTTTCACTTAGCACACACATGCACAGACATGCGCATATGTGTGAATAGTTTGCGTAAGTTTTGTTGTTTTTTCGCAAGCTGATTTATACATGTACATATACAGATAGCTGCATTTAAATCAACATATATACATACGTATGTATGTACTCGAGTCGACTTGCAGTTTTCTTTTGTTTCGGTGTAACCTAAAATAACAAAAACAAAAACAACACGAAGAACACGTTTACAATTGGAAGAGTCTGCTGTTAGCCACCTGGTTACCCTTTGTCACTTATTTTAATGAATACTAAAAAGCAGAGTCGAGTCGAGTCGCATTGTACGCGTTGTTGTTGGCTGTTGTTTTACGTGGAGCAGCGAGTTTTGGTTGCTGGAAATTTTGGCATTACTTGCCTAACAGAGCGCGACGCTTTTCGGCGCGTTACAATGACTGAAGTGCAAAGCAAGCCTGAGGTAATACTAATCATACCAAATACAATAAGTATGTAAATGAGTTGAACTATTGTTTATATGAGTGTGCATGGAGAACTTGTTTGTGTATGTGTGTGGCGGTGGGTATTAATATGTGAAATTTTATGGTAGCATGAACAGTTGGTGTGCAGCGCACGGAGGTCTGCTAGAGGGCGCTAACACTATGACCAACAACAACAACTCATGTACCCAAGCTGGCCAAGAGAATGCCAAGTATTCCATAGACATACACACACACCAACATAGATACATGTGTATTAGATATCTGCCAAACCGTACAATGTGGAACTATGGCTGAAATGAGTTCATTGTGCCTACTCTACCGGGCTTGTAAAGTAGTGTTATTTTCACAGCTCTTGGCCAAAAGAAAGTGTGATATGTGAGCAACTCTAATCACATACACACATATACATATATTTATACAAGCGTGCTAAAAAGCGACATTCAAAATCGCTGTACGGTGCCATCGTTGCTGCAGAATAATGTCTTCTTACACTCCAGTTGGCTAAACGCATTTGCCTAGGCGCACAGCGTTTTCATGCATAATTGTGCATGTGTGTTAATGCGTCTTGTCGCGTCCCAGCCTACGACGTAATCTTTAGTGCGTAAGTACCCACACACCGAAATGAATAATTAGTTGATTATACGAGTACACGCTCCGTCGTGCATGCGTAGAAACGTATGTAGAATAATGATCGCTGGATCATTGGGGAAGCCGAAAGCTCTTGACTGTTTCTTTCGCTGAATATTTAAATGAAGAAGGTGTGGACGTCTAAATTTACTTTTTTCGAGTTTTCATTTATAATAAATGAATAAGACGCTAGCTTTGTGACCCACAATATGTGTGGAAGAATCAATTGGTGTCGATTTTAAAAGTTTGAAAAATTTATTTCAACGGATATTCCGTTCATAATAATAATTTTCAAATATATGAATATATGGAGGTTTCTTATATTTATACTAAGGTACGATAGATAGGTTTTATAAAGTTATTAGTTGTAGTTTTTTTTTTTTTTTTTTTTTTTTTTTTTTTTTTTTTTTTTTTTTTTTTTTTTTTTTTTTTTTTTTTTTTTTTTTTTTTTTTTTTTTAGCAAGCAAGGGATTTAAAGAATCTTCCACGCAAATAAAATTTCTATAAAAGCATTTAACAAGAATGAAAATATTCAAAAAATAGAAATTGTATATGTTGCAAGGCTATATCTGAATTTCAGATGAATACTTGAAAAGAAGAACACTTGGAAAATGGAAATACTGTATTGAAAACTTCTTTAAAGGTATAATTGGATCGAACAACTATAGCCATTCGAACTGACTGAACAAAATTAATATAAATAATGTTTTTGCTCTTTATGCTATGAGAAATTCAGGTGTTACCAAGAACCGGACCGAATATGGTGCAGCCAAATTAACCTTTTTTCAAGTTATTCAATCATTGTGTGTTTTGAAAATACAGAATTCTAGAATTTATTTTTGTACAATTAAGAAATAATCATTATTAATAATTTAAAAACAAAATTTCCAAATATTTCAAAACTACTACTTTTATTACAGGGGCTATCCGGTGTGACTATTTTCTTTTTTCTTTCATAAATCCAATGTAGAGCATTCATAGAATGTGTTGATAAATGAATGTAGTTAGAAAGGTGCAGTAGTGAAAAGTAAGGTCTTCAGAGGCGTGGCCTACACATTTGTATTTTCAAACGTGTTTTTCTCGAAGCTACATTTTATGTCGTCCACGATTCCTCAAAAACGGTCACATCCACTGCTTTAAAATATGAATGGCAGATTCTTCACACAGATGAGTATCGTCTGAACTAAGATTTTTGAAAATTATTGAGCGGTCTTTTCACTTGTTTCATAAAAAAAGCGAAAATTTGGATTTTAATGTGTAAAAAGATACAAAACAAGTAAGGGCTGAGTTCGGGTGCGAACGAAAAACAAAAATCATGTAGTATATGGCAGTTGGGGTAGTATGAACTACCGAATAAACTATTAACAATAATTATGACACATTCTAATGAAATGTTCCCTGAGTTTCATTAAGATACCTCACATACGTTCGCCAACCACATGATGTAAAGTTAGCCGTATATTCGAATATCCTGATATCAATTATATGGAGATACAAAGATATACCTTTATTATAAAAACACGTTTGCTCAATTTCAATAAGATAACTCCTAAATTGGCCGATATATGCGGTTTTAAGTCGACCATAGGTACAGTTTTCGTTGCACTTGAACAATTTTGGTCACAAGGTGGAATTCAATACTGGAAAGTGAAAGAATCAAATGGGATTTAAAATTATGCTATATAGAAATTAGGCAATTTCACCCATTTTCGGACTGTAACAGCAATATGAAGAAAATGCCATGCACTGAATTTAGTAGAAATCGATTGATCGAGTCCCGAGATATGTGATTTCACCAAAAAGTGAACAGAGCCACTTCCAGACCATTGCCAACAATTTATTATTATAACTCATTATTCGGAATCTAGTTTTGCTACTTATGGTGTCAAAATACAACTATTTATATTTAAAGGGCGATGCTTGAGGAGTAACAGGTTTACAGCATCCAAATCGTTTTTCCGCCAACTGCCTCTAGAATTCGTGATTTTCCTAACAGTAAGTTCTTTGGGTAAMACTGTTTAGCAAAAATAGGTGATATGTAGGTATAAAACATATATGGATATGTGTATGAAGCACACATACACACATGCAAAATCAAACCGCTTATACAATATCCCAAAGCACGCACAGGTGACGTAAACTTTAATCTGCACCACATGTCGCACGGATATCGCCAAATGTCAAAACGGCCAGAATAAAGGCAAAAAAATTCACACGACCAAAGGGTGAAGCGAAAAGCGAGAGAAAGTGAAATAGTAATAAAAAAAATATCGATTACTCACACAGGATGCAAATACATACACACATACATCACATAGCATACATGTATATTTGTGTAAATTCACATATTTTCCACTTAGTTAAGGTGAGTTGAGGGGAGCCAGCTGTGCTTGCGCTAAAACGGAAGCATTGGGACACAAGCACAACAACCAAACAAGGCCAAGCGACAGCAGCGCAATAAATTAAGGCGACCGCTTTGTGTAACTATTGATTTTTTATGCATGTAAAGCTGAAAATAAACAAACACATGCACACAAGTACATATGTATATGCTAAATTTGTACCTCTAGCGATGTAAAGTAAAACCACTTTGAAGCAAGCCGCGCTTTTTACGTTTCTAGCGTTTTTTTCGCGCCGTAAAACCTTTCTCCACGCAACACAAAACGGGAGAGGTCAAGGACGCTCTGCTCGCAATTGCACAATTCGTCAACGAACAAAAAACTCAACACGATGTGTTCATCTACTCGCGTCGTATGCTGCAGCGACTTGTGAATGAGCAGCTGTTGCCACATTTTTCCGAATTCCAACAACGGCTCGCACACACACATACACATGCATACAGCTTCCCGAACAGGTAGGCGGCAATTCAAGGGCAACAACAAAGACATTACAGCGCTGTGACGCGATGCCAACGGGGTGGAACTTCATACATATATATATATATATGTGTGTGTGTGTCTGCACACGAAAATTATATAGGAATTAGGTCAGAGAATTGTCGCCAATTGCTTCAAAACGGCTGAAGGACACTTTTCTTAATATGTGTGTAGGTATGTATCCTCATCTTTGTGTAGCACCAGCAACTAACAACAACAACATTTGTTTAAGGTCTAATAGTTGTTAAGCAAATTAAAGTATGATTGAAGCAGCAGATCTACGAGGTCTAAGCCGCAAATAAAAGTTTCTAAGTAAATATACCTGTATCTGACTATACTAAGAGATTAGGATGTATGTACATATGTATGAATCTTGGTGGATGTATTGGGGTAGTGTTGCAGTCGAAAAGTCAAAGGTGGAGGACAATGACAACAAGGTAATGGAAAACAAAACAACAAGGACGACCTAAGAGGGTTAAAACACAAGTTCTCTGTAACAACAACACAATAGTATTAACGCTAACACTAACAACAATAAAACCGTGGAAATCAAAGAAAAAGATAAAAGTAAATACAAAATATATAACATAAATCGTTGAAAACTGATACATTAGGAAAATATCTGTGTTGAGTTGTTGACTTACCTGCGACAGATCAGAATCATCGCGCAGTTTTTCCACGATGCTGGCGCTGGCGCGCAACGGCGACATGGCCACGCATAGGCAGGCGAGCAGCGCGGCCTGCAGCGTGCACCTGCGGAACGCTGATGGCATTTTTCACACTTGTTTTTTGTTTGGTTTGTTTGCTAGACTTGTACTACTGAACACACACACACATTTACAAAAATTAAAATGCGCGTATGTGTGCATATAGTGTGGGCAGTAATTGCAGCGGCGTTGACAGCGTTTCACGTTTTGATTGATGTTGGAGTTTGTCAGCGAGTTGGTTTGAAATACAACAAAAAAAATGCTATTTATTAGATTTATATAGGCATATTGACACGGTATATATATTTATGCACGTGAATCAGTGGCGACAAATTTGTGTTATTGAGCGTATCGGTCGATATTCACGTTTATGATTTTCACATGGTGTTTATATAACTTTTTTCGTCAAATAATCGTAGACAAAAACATACACTCAAAAGTCTAACACACACTTGTACTTATGCAGGCAGCGCGAAATTATCGCAATCATTGAAACATGTTTACTGCAAATGCAGTCACGGTAAAATTCGACAATTGGCAATAAAGATGCTGGAATCGTCTCCCAGTTTGTGCAATCAGTTTACCAATCACTTACATAAGCATCTGAGGGTGCATGAAACGTTGCATACAGTGTAGCAAGTAGAGTGAAAAGTAGTTCAAAATATGTTTAAGGGTTTTGCTATTTTGGTGTTCAATAGAGCTTTTTATTACTGTGTTATATTTAAGGTTTCGGAAAAAGAACAAAGTTGAAAATGTGTTTTGAAATATTTACAATTTTGCAGTTCTTCGCAGTTTAAATTCTCAAATTTCTAGTGTCGGGTTATACTTCATTTGGTTCGATTAGTGCATAATCATTTCCGACCATAAAAAACATGCAACAAGATTTTTCCATTCGTCTAAAGCTTTTTCTGAACTTTCATGAGCCTTAAACTATGCTATAATAGTTTGGAGAGATTGCTTTGTCAAACATTAAGCAAGGTTCGAGAACTTTTAACTTCCTGAGAAAATTATTAATTTAATTATTAAGTATTAATATTATTATTATATTGAAAATAGGCTATCAACTATTAATATTATTATTATATTGAAGATAGAAACTTCCGTTTTGCCGTTCAGTTTGAAACCTAAAGTAGAACAAACGAAATTTATTCAGAGGAATTTACATATTATTATTTATTACCTAAGTACATTTATATATGTAAAAAATGCTTGCATTAAATTTTACGTGACCCTTAATGCGATTTGAGAGTAATTAAATGTCACGTTCTGCATGTTTCTAAAAAAACAAATACCGTTAGACTTAAAAATTACAAAACGAAGCAAACTTTTGGGAAGGTATTTTAATTGATAGTACAAAAATGTTTCCATCTTTAAATAATTTCTATATTAAAATTTCGCATACTTATGAGTTTATATCTGTTATTATTCGGTTAGCTGAATAATTATAATAGCATAGATCATCCTATTATATATAAAAACGTGACTTATAGTCGACATTTTTGTGAAAGGTAGCTCAATTTATATCACATCAATGACTGAGTTCCAACTTGAAGCACTCTTAGCCCTTATTGCATTACTGCATTACGACTTAAATTTCATTAAAAATATATTTGGAGCGATTCAGCATTGACGCAAAAGTGCACGCTTGTATAACCAATTCTCGAAAATGTTAATAGAAATCATGAACGTTCTGAAAATTCCGAAATTTATTCCACAAATATGAATTCAATATGGATTCCGATAAGAATGATAGTTAAGTTATAATTGTAGCTAACTGGATCATGAATTATATACAGAAGGTCAGCTTAAAAAATCAATGAGTTATTTATTGTGAACTTCTGAAAACAGTTGTTTCTCAGACAGATGACTCATAACACTGTTTTTTAGCTTTTTTGAACGAATTTCTTTTTCTGAATCAAATTAAAAAAGTTTACTTCGGTTCTAACGCAACTATAATACCTCTCACATAAAAGTAGGAATAAAAGGGTATAAAAAGATCTTTATCATGATTTTGATCGGTCAATTTGTATGGAAGCTATACGCTATTGATTACGACAAACGAACAGCATCTTGGAAAGAAAAGAAACAAGTTCACACTGATGTCTTAGAAACTGAGGTTCTAGTCGCATTTATGCAGACGGACAGCTACTCAGTCCAGAGACTCGTGGCAACCTTAATATACACTCTTTAAAGTATAAATATGGCAATAACATTGAAATAATTTAGTAATGCTTTTATAAATCGTTATCGCTAAAACAAAATTTATAAAGACACATATTTTTTGAAAAATTTTGAAGTGTCGAAAGCGAACTTGCTGCTATTAAAAAAGTTTCATATAATTATATATTATACATACATACATATTCTACAATCATGAGATATCTCAAAAATATGATAAACATTTTCTAAGCTCATGTCGAATCCACAGCTTGTAGAGTGGCTTGCAAGCAGAAAACAAGTTTAAATTTGTTGATTCTGAAAAACGGGTGTGGTCTGTTCTTATATAGGGTGTAAGCTGTTCTTATATAATTCAAGAAAATAGTTAGTCACGGTAAGAATACCTTTTTTGCATGAAATTTATGCTGCCAACAGACACTGTGTTTATTGCAAGAGGAACACAGGCTTGACAAGTCAGTGGTCTGAAATTGCTCGCAACGGAAGCAATAAACAGCAGCGGTCGAAACCCCAAACAGTTGGATGCACAATAACAATCCTTGGGTGGCATACACTCAGCCCACAATGGGTGAGGGTACTACCAATTTGTTGTTTTTGTTTTTTTGCGACTATTGACATTTGTGCCAATCAAATAAGCAAGTGAAGCGCATGAACCCATTAAGGATAAGAAAAGCTATTGAGAATGGTGTGAGTAGAAGAAATATGCGCTTCGAGATGGAATGCTGGATAATATAATAACGCGTGGAAGGCACCCTAAGAGTTTATGGTCAACAGGCGGACAGACAACCCTGATAACCAGTAGCTGCTGTCGCTGACAGCCGTCAGCAGCAATTCTAAGCAGTGAATTTGCGCTCATTATGCAAGGGACGCGTGCAACATGGCGATAACAGCCGATAAACGGGATTGTGGCCGGGAATGCTTACCCGAACTCCTCCTCTACCTACCGCTTCTACTGCACATGCTTTGCATTGACTTTATTTTAGTGCTTAAGCGCCCTTCGCAGCACGAATGCATCCCTTAAAACTTTCATTCAAGGATTTTCTTTTTTGCACACTATAATTATACCGTTATGTCACTAACGCAATAGGCGCATATCCTTGCATGTGCAAAACAACCACACACACGCTTTCACATACTTATGTGTATATGTGTGTTTTTAAATATGAAAGGACGTTTGGTGGCTCTTTGCACTTTGCTAGGGCTTCGTTCTCCCTCTGCGTGAAGTGTTTTGCTAATTCACTCAAATTGTACAGAATTCTTTGTAATTGGTATTAAAAAAATAAGAAAAAATTGCTTAAATATTGCACCACCAAAGCGCTATAATAGCGTACAACAAAAGCGTAATTACGCAATTGTTGTTAGTGCTCCTCTTGCGGGCTTTGCACACGCTGCAGCACAAGCGCAACTTCTTTCGACTGCTGGTCGAGTCTGCACCAGACCAGTAGCTGATGTTTTCATTATTGTGATGGTGCTTTTCTCTACATTCGTGCAAACATACACACAGCTAAATATTTGTATGAACATATGTATGTGTGTGCATGCTCTTACAGTAGCAACTGCTTTTGTAAAGCGTACTTTTTGAGTAAATAAATAAAAAAAAATCGGAAAAAATAAAAAATTAAGTAGCACATTCTCCAAATGCTCACATGCGCTTGCCACACCATCATGCTTTTGCCACAACGGCTTATTCACGTTGAAGACGCATTTGGCTGCTTGTGACGCGCTCATTAAAGCTTTGTTTTCGCTGTCGTTAAATATTTATCGTAAGCTTGAAATTTGTTCGGCATACACAAGTGTTTCCCAGCGACTGTATTTAAATTTTTAAAAAATAAAAAACGTTTAAAAACTTTGCAGCACCAACACGCACACACACACAGTCATCAAATGCAAAATCAATAACTGAGTAATAATATGACAGCCGAGGCTTTGGTGTGTGGCAGCAGCACGGCGGAAGGTGTACTTGGCGCGGTCGGGATGTTGGAGGCCGAATTTTTTCGGTAATTTCCAATTAACCGTTGCACAAACAGACCAAGACCAAGTATTCAACATACATGCATACTCGCACTTACACACACACACTCAGTTATTAGCGTTAATATGTCATACGTACGTTTAATTACTAAAACACTGACACTTTGTAGCACACCCTCAAGTCGAGGCTAAGGCTAAACCTGTACTACAAATACAATAACAACAACAAGAAAAACACACACACGGAACAAGTTTTATTGGCAGTAAAGAGCGTTTAAACAACGGCAGCGACAACGACACGACCAGCACAACGGTTCACCAAGAACTGACTGAGACCGATTGCTGCGGCGAGCCAACAAGCTGAGCGGCGACGTTCTGTGCCACTGCCATGCACTCGTGGAGCAGAGCAGACTCGCTGCCATGCATGTGCATATGTATGTCATAACTGGCGAATACAATTATGGCTCTTTTCTTATTGAATTGGATAACAAACGATACGACACGGCGGCGCGCGCATACTCTCGTAGAGCAGCCGCATGTTGGCTGGGGGCTGGTGGGCTGGTGGCAAGAGCGGAATACAACAGCAACACTACTGGTCGCCGGTGGTAGCGGCAAGTGGTGTGGTTACGCGGTCGGCTAGTCACAACAAGCTCCACGAACAACGTGGGTTAGGTGTAGCGTTTGGGCTTGTCTCAGCACAAAGCCAGCACAGAGAACTAACCAACTCGCAATCATAGATACATACGTATGTACATACATACATAAATGTGCAGTAATTGAGGAGATGCTCGCAAACTAACAAACTCAAGCAAAATTTTGTTTATGTGTGTGTGTTTCATAGTGTTCAAGAGAGCGTTTCTATATGAAGTAGAATTGAATTATATTTTGAAAACCCAAACATGAAATTATGAAAATTGCGGAGGATTTCGCTACATATGTACATACATACAATTGTATGCTGCACTTGATCAAGTTATGTTGGCGATTTTGCTGGCTAAAAATAACTGCTAATTCGCAATGCTACTTGCATCTGCATATACATACATATGTAGGTGCATATGTTTGTATGTAAATTGCCCATAAATGTATGTATGCATGTGAGCATACACGTCCCGCCATAAAATACGTAAATAAAATGCCCTCGTCTTTCAATTGGATAAATGATATTGAACTTGGCACGTAAAAAAGCGACGAATGCGATTCGGAAACGCTGCACTATTTAACGGCCGCTGGGTGTTCGAGCACAAATGTCGATTTTTATTTGTTTCTCTTGCAATGAACTTTCGAAGGGTTGGCGCTGCAGCGACAAACAGCCAAGATCACTTGTGTGAGGGAGTTTAGAGTGAAAGTGCTTGTAGTAAAAAAAGGGTCACACCCAGTTTAGTGCAGCTCGAAGTTACGCAAACGCACATAAATTCATTTATATGTGCATGTGTACGTATGTTTGTATATACATAATCACTTTTAAAAAACTAACCGTTAGCACGGTGGGATCAGTTGACTTCATAAATAGTCATTGAAGGGGATTCGAATCTCATCTCTTCCATACCTTTTTTTTTTAACTAGCCTGTCCGTCTGTATGTACGAAACTAGTTCTTCCCTTTTATGATATTGATCTAAAATTTTACTCCCCTCCCTTTCTCCCGAAGAAACTGCTCGTTTGTTGGAACCGCCGGTATCGGACTAATATAGGATATATGTACGTATGTATGTAGCTGTCATACAAATTATTGTCCAAGGCAAAGCTACAACTTTCAAACAACTCTTTTAAGTTTACAAATTTTAGTTGTTAAAATGCGCCAAACGAAGTTCAGATCGGACCACTAAGGCTCCGCCATACAAACAGACCGATATAGATTTTTATCCGGGCAGGGGCTGTCAACTCGGCACCACGCCTAAAATTACTTCAGGAATGTTTTCTGCCGCTACATCAACAACAACTTATGTATATGGCTTCGGTGCAGATGTAGTTCGGATTGAACCACTATACTTCCGCTATACAAACTGTCCGGCCAAAACCAATATAAAACTTGTTTATACTCTCTTATGCTTCGCCTATGAAGGGTATATGRTTTCCGTGCTGACGAAGTTATTGTTTTAAACAAATGATAATTCCGTTTCCGAAGGTTTATAGATTAGAGTTTTGTTATAGTTGGTAACAATCTATTTCGATATTTCGAATATTCCACTTTTTCTACTGTATGATTATTAACTAAGCCTATGTTAAGATATGTTACGACTTAGTGCATAGTCGTTTTATTAGTAATATTGTATTTGTGCCTTAACTAATTGGTTTGTGTCTAGAATAACGTAAACGTCACACAAAAAATAAAACACCGTTCATCTGGCTACGCTTATTACACAGCTGTTTCGTACACAAAACAAAAGACGTAAGAAAATACAAATAAAATCGGAGAAATCCAGCTAGATTTTCTAATTTTGCAAAATAAGCGATACGTCCAGAAAAATGTCCTCAAACTTTAGATATACTATGGTGCGAACTGTACGCCCTTATGTCAAATATTTTCCGCAATTAACGAAGCCAGTACTTCGGGTGCTTATTAAAGTTTCTGTTCATTATTTGGAGAGTTCGAAGTGTTCACCGGAAGAATTAGACTTGGAGTTGACGAAACTTACACATTCTGGCCAAGACATTCCAGATAACTTTTGTGAATTATTCGCAGCAGTGCTGCAAATTATGCAAATATTTTTGCGTACGCCAAAAGGTATTGTAAAAGACCACGAACTACGAGACTGCCTTAAGGAACTGAGGTTAGTAAATTAAGCAAAAAAAAAAAAAAATGTCAAGTGTCAATGTCCCCCTTTAAACCATATTCCAATATGTAGATTTACTGATGAATGTGTTGAAGACTTAAGTAAAGTATTGTATAACCATCGTGCCTCGTTAACGAAGAATTTCATTGAGGCCAAGACAACACGTTCCAAACCAAAGAACTTGCAATGGCGTATCAACATATCACTAGGAGAGGGGTATGTATGTTTTAACTCTTTAAATATTTTAATATTTTTATTTCATTTTTTTCGTGACAGCACATGCAACGGTAGTATCAATGCACCAACTATCATATTACATTTTCAATTACCCGATGGTCGTTACCGCACACTGGAATTTCCACTGTCAATGTTTCATCAACTGCGCTATAATGTTGCTCTGCTACTAAGTGAAATGCAAGCACTTGAAAGTCGCGCTGTAATGAAGAAATTTTAAGTTTGATATAAATAATCTATATGGAACTTTCTATTGGAAATTTGAATGCTCAATTAGGCCAACGTGCCATTTATAAAATTGGATCTTGACAATATTTATTGGAGCAAGAATATATTATATTTATGGAATTAACTCACCTTCGCATTATTATGTGTATGGATGGACATACAAAGCGAAGCTTTTTATCTGTCTGATATTTGTTGCGTTATTTACCAATGTATTACAAGAGTATTTAATGTAGCTTTGTTAGTAAAGGTGTTCAATGTAATGTTATTAAATTGTTATAGAAGTTAGGGCAATTACGTGATTAGCAAGTAATACAAGAACAGAGTTGTGCAAATAATGTTTTCAATAATATATTCATATATATTTAAAGCAAAGACAGACTTTTAGATAGTAGGTTAAATAAAATTTACATTATACACGCATATTGATGTGCATATGTGCTTTCTATGTATGAAACAATAAATATTCAATATATTAACAAATTGGAAAACTAATATTTTTAATATTTTGTCTTTGGTTCTATCATAAATCATTTATACATTTAACTTGTTCTCCCTATATTATCTAAAATTGTCTTAACCGTTTAGTTTTAAGGATTTTCTTTTTATAATATACATATACATATAATGGCATATGTGAGGTCTCTGATAAAATATAAGTTGTTTACTTCCCTGTTAATCGAACTTAACTACACCTGCTGTCGTTTCATATTATATGCATATATATGTATGCATATATGTATATCCTTTTTTTCATCAATTTTCTAAATAATGTTTAACACCATCAATTTCACGCAGACGTTGAGCTGCTTGTTCTGGTGTCAAATCGCGTTGCGACTCATTCAGTAATTCGAATCCGACCATGAATTTGCGCACAGTGGCAGAGCGCAATAGAGGCGGATAGTAAAGTGCGTGAAGTGTCCAATGAGACGTGTCAGCGCCGATTGCTTCGCCAGTAGGAGCTCCATGAAAACCCATTGAGTATGGAAAGGAGCATTGGAATAGGTTATCATATTTAGTTGTTAATTCCTTTATAACTTTCGCCAAATTCTCTCGCTGAGTTGAACAAACATCGCTTATGCGTTTGTTGTCATTTCTTGATATGAGTAGAGTCTCAAAGGGCCAAACAGCCCAGAAAGGCACCACAACTAACCAATCGGGATTCTCGACAACGATACGTTCCTTACGTTCTAGTTCTCGTTTTACGTAATCTGACAGCAAAGGGCGGCCGTTCTTGGTGTAGTAATTGCGCAATCGTTCGTCTTTAATTTGTGGCTCCGTAGGTAGGAATGAGCAGCACCATATTTGGCAGTGAGGATGTGGATTCGAACAACCCATAGCAGCACCCTTGTTCTCAAACACCTGTACCCAGAGGAATTTTTTACTCAATTCATTGAACTGTTTGATCCATCTATGTTGAATAAAAATACAATTATTAATTAATAGATTTATCATTGGATCATGTGGAATAGAACACGCACTCATCTATAACGGCAGTTATTTCGCCGACAGTCATTTGTGGCAGTGTTACATTCGATTTAGGATGAAAGCACATAACTCGACAAGTACCTCTTGCCTCCGACACTTGAAATAGGGGATCATCTGACGGTGGTGGTACCGGATTGTCCTCCATCAAAGCCGGAAAGTCATTTGTGAAAACAAATGTTCCTGTATATATAGGATTCAACTGCATGCACACAAAATCATGCAATTATATGTAAACTGTATATTTGTTTGTCATGGAAACATACTGTGCCATTTGGTCGCGCCACACCTGGACTAAGTGGGTTAGTGGGATCAAAATCGGGTATGTTGCTCTTCTGTGGCGCCTCCTGTTGCCCCGTCCATGGTCTCCGCATGCGATGTGGACTCACCAACACCCAATGGCCAATCAATGGATTGAATCGTCGATGGGGATGCTCTATACGTAATTGAAATGAGAAAAATATGTAAATTTGGTCGTATTCTGAATGCGTGTAAAGGCAACAAAAGCTTACCAGAAGCTATGAATTGCATTTTATTGCAACTGTGATAAAATCGGTTTATTTTACGCAAAATCTAAACGGACTGACTTACAAACCTACCGCGGTGAGTATTTAGTTCTAACTGAAATTCCACCACTTGACTACACATCAGCCGATCGCTCTCTCGTTTCTAGCGCAATGTCAAGTGCAATGAGTATAAATAAACAAATTGCTCTTTGTGTTATCAGCTCTAAAGCGAATGTAATCAACTTACAATCGCACCTACGTACACCTTTCACCCATATGTATATGTGCATGGACATATGTACACTTGTGCTTACACAATTAAGCCACATAAACGTTATGGTGTACAAATTCATAAAAATTGAATTTTATAGATAAATTGAAAAAAAAAAGTTTCACAAAATTAAAAGAGATTACTTAAACTCTATTGTACTTATAGTTTTCTAAAGTTAAATTTTAATGTAAAAGCAAAAATCTGTTTTCTTCTTCATTGGTATGTATTTTTCGTGCTCATATAATTAAGCCACCTGCAAAATAAGCTGTCAGATAAAAGAATTCKATGTTTTGTTCAAAAAAACTTGCCTTATTTAGACTAATATATTTTGTTGGGAATCCCTTTTACAAAATGCGTTGGCTTATTGTACGCACCAGTGTGTTACATTGGTCTTGAGTAATTTTGCTCCATTCTTCATTTAAAATTTGCCACAAATGCAGCCTTATTTGACGGTTTTTTCGCCGCAATTACCCTTTTAATAATTCCCCATATATTAGGGTTTAAATCCGGGTTTTGGGCAGGCCACTCAAGACACTTGATACCAGTCCTTAACGACCCTGGATCAGTGCTTTGGGTCGTTATCCTGTTGAAATGTCCAAGCTAGTGGTAAATTATCGGCGTAATTTACATTTAGGTGTTTTGCCCTCAACTTGTACAAGTGGTCCTAATCCGCATGAAGTAAAACACCCCCATACCATGACTGATGATCCACCATGTTTGACAGTTTTTTTTTAGTATACTGTGGGTTCAGGTCTTGTAGTGGTGGTCGCCTGACATAGGGTCTAACGTCATTCCCAAAGACATTAAATTTDGATTCATCACTCCATACCACTAGATCCCAGAATTTTGAGTCCTTTTGCTCTCTCGCAAACGTCAGCCTTCGTTGAATGTTCCTTTTCGTAACGATCGGTTTGCTTCGTGCAATTCGACCMTTTAAGAAATTTTCCTGTAATCTCCGTCGGACTGTCTGTGCTGATACCCGTACACCATGATTTTGCATGTTATATAATATATATAACTCATCAGTAAAACGCTCATTTGCATTGAGATAACTCACATGGTGGCCGATATATGCGGTATGAAGTCACCCGGTTAGGGTGAATTAGGCAGTTTATGGGAATTAAGGAAAGTATTGATACGATCCAACCCATTTTAGACGCACAGACGTACCACTATAAGAGGGGGGTTATCCCTTAATTTCAGTTATATAGTATATCACACAATAACCGACATTTTCGACCAAAAGTCAACTATAAGTACTAAGGTCTAAATATTCGGTACTTATGGGCTTGAACAGTTTTTATTAAATTTAAATAATTTTTGGTCATAAGGTGGCAAACACTATAGGCATTTCTTGCACCAATATAGGCTATATTTACACTTTTGTTCATTTTGCATGCCTTTATTATTGAAAATTTACTAAATTTATCTAAAATAGGTCAACTCGAAAATGTATGACATTATATATTATATAAACACATAAAAGCATTGTATGAAGTAAGCACACTCAACATATAGGAGTAATAAAGGAGTTCATATAAATGGAAATTTTATATACATGTGTGTGTGTATGGTTGGGAACGAGGGCAAACCGAAATATCTCCTTCCATGAAACAAACAGTCTTCGGACTCGCGGCTTAGCTTGCACGTCACTGTTGACAGTCATAATTTAGAAGTCATACATAATTTCGTCCATCATGGAACTAGTATTAAAACCAACAACAATGTCAGGCTCGAAATCAAATTTAGAATAACCCTTACCAACTGGTTTTGCTTCTAGCTGAGTAAGCAATTGAATTCCTCTCTTAACGAATAAAACCCAAACTCTATAAGTTACTCATTATTCCCGTCTTGCTCTATGATGCAGAGGAGGACGATGACAACATCTGAAAAGTGGAAGATCTGTATAGGAAAAAATTATATAATAGAGAAGCATTTTAGAGTCGGCAATGAGCCTCGACATCAGAAAATTCATCAATTTCTGGGCAAAATGCAAATATGGGGGGACGGAAGGATTTCCAGTTTCCAGGCTATTCTTTTTCAATTTTATGGCGACTTTTTAATCAATTCTCGAATCGAGCCGACCACACAAAAAAGAATGCAGCGCAGAGTTACGAACGAATGCACTTAACTTCACGGAACGCGTGCATTTCCTCTGAATAAATTTGATGCCGTTGTAACAGGAAATACTTAGAAAATATGCGCAGATCTTCGATCTTCACTAATTCCTAAGATCTTACCTAATTATTCGTACTGTAAGAAACAACAATATTTTCAATAAATATTATTTATTTGTTATTAGATTTACTTTATTTTTGCGATTTATCAGTCATTCTGTTTTCTTCATCATCTTTTTTTTATTATTATAAATTATAAAATCTAATACAAACAAACAAAGCAATTTAACAATCACTGCCGCTACATACGATATACCATACATTGTATTCATATATATACTATATATTAATGTATGTATATATATATATATATATATGTTGTTTGTGTAATTTAGACGCATTTACCTATGTATATATGTATATATATTTCAATTTATTTGTGTCTATTCAACTTATCGCGTCACTTGTATTGCCATTCATTATATGCGGCCTATATATGTAAGTATATGCGTGTATAAGTAAGTACTTAATCATGTGTGTTGAGTTCACGTGTTTAATTAAATATATGTGTTTGTATGTATGGTATGTGTGTATATGCATACATATATTTATATATGTATATATATTTAGTTGATATTTTTTTACACATTTTTTTATTTATTTTAATGTATATATAGTTATAATAATAAATAACAATGGGTTTAAGCCTATATATGGTTGCTAGAGTAAAGTTACATATGTACTTCAGAATGCAAGTGAGAATTTGTCAATTTATTAACACTCCAAACCGTCACTATGTATTATCATTTATCAGCTTACATATTCGTATATATTTATCTATGTATGAATTTATACTGCATACAAATACATTTACATACGTGTAAGTCGATACTCTAAATATATGTGTACATAACATTTTTGTTTCCTGTCTATATACGTTTGGTATATAGCTGTATTGTTGTTGTTGCTGTTATTTTACTTTCCTAGTTTCACTTCTATACCTGTTACTTAAATATATTTTTTATGCTAATACTTGTTAATCAATGTTACATACATACATTTTGGTTATCCCGTTTAAATCATACAAATAAGTAAATGTTCATATTATTATGGCATTATTAAATTTTAAAAACCGAAAATGTATATATTTTTCTACAAATTATTTTAAAATACTAATGAGTTCAGTTGTACACAAACTATTGCATGCTTTAAGGGCCAGCGAGTGCGTATGAGTAACATTTTGCTGGAAAAGCGAAAATTAGCTTAGATACCGGTTTATTTACTTATATTTTATTATCTGAAAAAATTATATTCGCACCAACTTAAATGTAAATATTTTTGCTAGAAACTATTAAGGGCAAAATGTGGCAGCTCAGAGCTGCTCGAATACCGATTAACATTTATAGATCCTCTCATTTATCGAAGAAATATTATTAGTAAACTAGTTCAAAAGTTCGTCATGCACCTGCGTTATGACTAAAAGCTGTTGCAGGTTTTGAGTTCTTAGACTTAACCAGTCACAATGACTTTGGGCTATATTGACCGATTGCTTATTTTTAATTTTGCGTGAAGCGATTAATTGAAAATTATTAGGTTTTAATTAATCAATATAAAGGACGCGTGTCGTAGTAACCCCACTTGACAGGTAGAGTATTAAATTCCGAAAACTATTAAAAACCCAATCCGCATTATTATACCATTAACCAAAAAAATTTAATTTTAATATTCTAGTAATAAACTTAGACTGACTAAAAGCCTCTCATTTCATTACTCACATTTGCCCGTATTCACACCACTCCATTCCTCTATTGTTCACTTCCATGCATATAATATTTACATGAAATTTTGGTCGTATTTATCTTTCGGGTAATTGGTTGGAATAAAAATATCAATAAATGCAGATTTTCTTGTGCAATATCAGAACTGGGCGTGCTTACGTAGGTATAGTCGCGTGTTGCATGTTTTTCGGAGGTAAATTTGCATGGATTCAAAAATATGTGGAAACCACAACGTTATATGTATATGTATGTATATTTGTATTTTTTCATTTTAAATTATTAGGAGAAATTTCAAGTGTTTTGTATACTTTTTTAATTTCATACTCTTCCTAAGTACATACATACATTGCAACAATAAGATATCGTAATAAAATATAGAGTATTGTTTTATGCATTTTTTGCAATTACTGTTCCATTGTGTATGAGTCCATCGTGTATATTAATTAATAATAATTTGCAAAGAGAATTTCGGAAAAATTGAATTTGCTTTTTGATTTCAACGACAATTTCGGGTGCACAAATGTTTAGAAACTTGTTTAATGCAATAATTTATATTATAATAATTGTTATTCAATTTTATTTTTTAAGTCAACATTTTTTTATTTTTTCTTCGTTTTATAAAGTGTTTTATGTATCGAGATGAATTTAACAAATGTCAGAACTTTTGTGTGTTGGTGAGTATCGTGGATTTGATGATTAATTGTGGCTAGTGAAAGTATTTAAAGTTTGGTGTTAAAAATTATCATTACGATTTGATTCCTGAACATTTAATATTTTATTTAAAAACTTATAAAAAATGTTTGAAGCTCTATACCTTCATCATCTTCTTATTTCACTTCTTGAAAGAAGTGTATGAAATAAATATATATATAGAGTAGGTATAAATTACAGGAGCCGAAAAAGAGGAAACAAGTAATTAAATCATTACTTAAAAAACTTCTGCGACTTGAATTAAAAAAAGATCATTTTGATTATTTTTTTTTTAATATTCAATGGTATATTTCTTTGAGACTGTAATATCAATGTTTCGAAATGTTTTTCCTTTAAAATATTTTTGATTATTCTTATGTTATTTTAGATTTGCAGATGTCAATTACGAATTGGCAGTTTATCTATCTATAATCCGCATTTTTTTGTGGAAGAAAAGCTGAACACACAGGAAATTTCTGATTTAATGCAGTCTAGCAAAAAAGGTAATGCTAACAGCCACCTGTTGAATTTTTATTGCAGACAATGAAATGTTAAGTATTTCGGCTTACAACTTAACAGAAAGGAAATGTTAACAGTCAAATAGGTCAGGGTTATAATTTGTTTAATTAAAAAATTTTATTTTCCAAATCGAAATTAAATATTGGATTTTTTTTAATAAGAAATTTATTTTAGTATTAAAAATGTGAATTTTTTTAAT